TATAAGAAAAAATCCTAAATAATTAATGAACCAAGAGGAAAGATAAGATATTGAAAGATAGAGAATAATCCAAGATAGTACTAGTAAGTTAAGATCCAGAGAAGTTGAGATACTTTTTCAGGAACTTAAAAGAGAAAATAATACAGAAAGATGGGAAAAGGTCCGGAAAACTATAAAATATCACAAATTCGAACAACAACAATACTTGATTTGGTTACAAGAAAATACTGAACTAAGATTTCCAGGATTAGTTCTAAGAACTTATTATCCAAACAGGAGAATTGTAAGATACAACCCTGAACAATCTAACAATTAAAAGATACAGGATAATTTTGCAAATATAGAAAATAAGGGCAAAATAGTATTTTTAACAAAAGAGGCTATATAACCAAAAATCATTGTTGACTAGCCTATTTAAACAAATACCCCTTAAAAATATTGTATGTTTTTAGGATATTTATGTTGTTCTAGTGTTAATTTATTCTTAACTTTTAATTATCAAATTTGTAACTTTTGACTTTTTAATGAATAATTTTAATTTATTATATCCATAATTATTACTTATTACTTGATCAGAATTTAAAAATAAATGTTAAATAAAAATAACCATCGCATTAAAAATAATATAAATCAATTAATTAAAATCAATTAATTCTAAAAAAAGATATAGATGGAACAAGAAACTGTTGTAAAGAGGAAGAGATGCAAAATGGGGAATATTGAAAAACTCCAAATTTGGTGTAAATGATTAGTATTAAATCAAATTTGGTGTAATATTGTTTAGTACACCAAATTTACCTACCAATTGAAGTGCTTTTTAAACAAAATTTGGCATAACAATTGGAGATGACCTAATGGAAGAGCTCAAGGGATGATATGTTACAAGTAGGGTTGCAAATTGATCAGATATGGATCAAATATTGTCCATATTTGATCCTCCATATTTCGATCCAATCTAATAAGAATAATTATTCAATATGATAATCCAACGGATATTTAATTATTAAATCCATATTTGATTTGCTATGTTATCGGATATCCGATCCAATAATCCAGTCCGAAATTGAAGAAATTATGAAAATAAAAATTCTATATTTGTCAATTTCCAAACCCTATAAGTAAAAGGCTCAGATAACTTTTTACTGAGTTCTTAACCCACCTATTTATAGATTGTAAATCTTGTCGGAAGTGGGAAGTCGGGAACAATAAAAACAACTCCAACTATTAGCCCCCTTTGATTATTTAATTTGTAAAATAAATTAATTATTATTTTTATCTTATTTTAATTAATAAAAAATTAAAAACTCTTCAAATATTTCAATTAACAATATTATACTAT